TCGCTTTGAAAAAAAGGTAATCATCGAGCGTGCGGAGCCCGTAATCTTCCATCTTTGTGTTATCCGAGTTCTGCCGAAAGAAATGATGGTGTATAATCATCAAAAAATCGAGGAATGTATATTTTATTCATTTTATTAAACTTTTTGAAAAAGACCGTGGGGAACTTCGTGCTTGTGAACCAGCTTGCAGTTTACTTCAAGGATCCATAAGTTTCCGGATCAATTGGCATGTTTAACCCCTTTGCTTGAGTCGTTAACAGCCGACTCCATCGAACCTGCGTTCCCACCGAGCATAAGTGGACCCTGTAATTGAATTGAAATATTTTTTCTCTTCTACATTTTGTTCATCAGTGCCTGCTTGCTTGCTTGCTGGCCTTGACACTAGGCGGTCTGCACAACCCGTCTTAAATATTAATGTTCGTGGAGCCTGGTCAGGATAGAGGATCCCGCGTGCGTGCGATTTACCTATAGGCTTCAGTATATAATTCTTCTTATGACCCTGAAATGTTTTTCTGACTATAAACCACACTTCAACCACTAAATTTAAGTTATGATGCCGAACCTTCATAACGATTTTTTTTATATCTTGTTAGCATTTCTAAGAAACTGATTTATTTCCTCTATCAAGGGAATAATAAATTGGACATCCGCAGCTTAACCTTATAGACTCGGCAACATTTTAGTTCTCATGTCTGGCGCACATTTCCCACTCACACTGCGGTCCATGTTGCCAAATTATTATTCGTATTATATTACCATTCTTGAGTGGGCCATCTTCCACTTGCCGACGTGATCGTGTGAGTAAATCGTGAGAATTTATGAACACTTTGACCTTCCAGAAGACGCACGCAGGTTCAGGTAATGAGTCACGGTCCACATTGAGGCAAAAACTTTATTTACGCATAATCCAGTCGGACTTTTTGCCAGAGCAAAAGTTTACTTGAAATTCCTGATCGGCTGCTGGTGATTTCACGGTTATGCTGCCTTCAGGGCTGTATTGTGTGTAATGGTTTGATTATTTAAAAGTAAACTCCATGAATTTTTTCTAATATATTTCAGTCCGGTCTGTAAAATATTAAAAATATCCTCTAAAGAATATTTTATTAAAAAAATATTCCTCACATTGAATTTCATGCGATTATTATTATGTTTCCTGGAAGGCAAGTATACATGCCTTTTATTATGCCCAACTGCTAGCTATTTATTCGGTCCAGTAGCTATAATTTTTAGAGCAGCTGCATAGTTGCAGTCAAGAGGGTTTTTCTGCCAATTTTATTTGTCTGACGTCGAATGTGTTGCAGTCGTACAGCCATTTAACGTGGGCAATCAACCGAGGACGAGAAGTCAATTTTCCCACTCGTTTTTGTACTTAATTGTTTACCTATATTACCCCAATTAGTGATTTCCAGTTTACAGGGATGGTTTAATATTCAGCATTTTTCCCCAGTATAATCATAGTAAGGCATCGATTATTTATCTCTGTCCAGGGATATTCACGTCTATTTTGTACGATAATGAACTTGACGAATGAGTCGAGCTACTCTCAACAATACTTGTCTTACTCGTAATTATTCGTAGAGCCGTTGAGGTTATTGGGTAGAAGTCAGGGTCAGAGTAGAATCCGTTCGTATCTTCTACTCTTAATTCGGCGACTCCAATGCGCTGCAGGGACGAATCTCACGAATCCGTGACACGAAGCGAAGCAGCCTGCGATGTTTTTTTCTTTTCGTGTATTTGAGGTCGTGCTCGTCGTTGAGTTTTCCTTCTTCAAGGTCGACCGTATCTGCTCTCGCAGTATTTTTGAAGACTTCAATTTAGTTTTTTGTCTCTTTAGGTTTTGGAAGGTTTAGAATAGAGTTAACGAGCGACAAACATAAAACTTTTCAGAAAAAAGGCAATTGACATGGATTTCTCTACACTCTGAATGGCCGATCTATACGTACTCTCACTAGCCGTTTGTTCCAATGAGTTTAGACGTTCTATTTGTATGAGTAACTAACGCCTTGTATTGATTTTTCCCTGGGTATAATTTTTTTGCTAGCATGATATAAATGATTTTTGAAAATGCCATTACGATAAAACATAACCGTTGGACTCTTCACTTGACCTAACGCTTGGTATTACATAAAGATTTCATATTTTGTAACATTCGAAAAATATGAAAACCATCTAATATATCAAGCATGATTATTGATGAGTTGTGAGAGGTAGGATCGCAGTCTTCACTTGCGAGGAGGAGGCGTCTGAACCTTACTTGCCCGACTGGCTGCACTCCTGATGGCCTTGCACATGCAAGAGGCGCTCCGCTGGTGGTGGTTCTACCACTTTGGTGTTTGCTTGCGACCTCTTGATCTATTATAATTTTAATCTATCAGGTCCTGATGACTTATTCTTTTCGTGATGCGGTTTGTGAATTGCATTTTCTTGAAGCGAGTTGGCATGCTGTCGAGTCATGACTTTGAAGCCGAAATCCTTTGAAGGCAAATATGTGTGCTCGAAAAAATCAACCAACCAAACTCATATCCATCAATAAAGACGTGAGATTCTCAATAATATCACCCATTATTGATATAAAGCTACATTAATTTGTATCTATACTCCACGAACCACAAATACATAGAACTATTTAAGTTTGTGATGTCACACGCGGTCACTCTATGCTGGGGCAAAATCGTTCAGCTCGGTAAATTGGTACCTCTTCTGCAGTGCCCGGGGCAGACACGCTTCCCTTCACCCTCCAGTGCTGGACTCGCCTCAAGGTCGCCGCACTTTTTGTTATAATTGAGCCGCTGCACTCAAGCGTTTCATTTAACTGCCAGCTTGTGCCGCTGGCTTCAGAATTCTTCTGATGGCGGCTGAAATTCACTTGCTTACAAACTCAAAGCGTACTGTAACATGAGAGGGAAATCAGTGCCATGCTAAACCTGCCATCTAACCAAAATTTTTTTATGTCGTTCATTAACTACTGCCATTACTTTTATCCTAACAATACATTTTTTTGAGAAAGATATAATGGACATAACATTTCTTGTGGTGGAAATCAAACTAATCAACACGCAACCAATGTACAGATATTAGAAATTGGAGCCATCTTCTATCGAACTGAGAAATCTCCAACATCGTCATTGGCATATTATGACAATGTACGTATAATATAAATTAATTAAAAATAATAATAATAACAATATAGTGTTAGCATCTTTGAAGGGGCTATTTTGGTCTGTCGCAGATTCTTTTCTACCCGACCCCTTGCCGATTTCGACCAGAGTTCTTCAAACTATTCGCTAGTTTCGAACCTATAACTAGCTGCTTTAATATATGTGATCTTAACTACCGGTCGTCCTCTGACTTCAGAGACTAGGAATTCAACTTATACTCAGTACCTACTGCATTGCGAGCATATTGCTTTTTTGTATTTTGAAGTCTACGAGTGTTTTAGCCACCATTTGATATTACGTACTCAAAGAACTTCCATTTAAAAATATAGACTTGTATGTGGTTCTTCCAAATTTTATTCCCTCCCTAAGTTCATCTGCCTGTGGACTGCCTTAAGATGGTAGAACTTATGCTTTGCTGTGGCGGAACTTCGGCGTGAGATGCCTACAGATGAGCAGAAGATGGCAGAGTTCAGTTCTAATTAGTCACCTACAGGCGAGCTGATTATGGCAGAGTTCAGTTCTGCTTAGTCACCTACAGCCGAGCTGATTATGGCAGAGTTCAGTTCTGATTAGTCACCTACAGCCGAGCTGATTATGGCAGAGTTCAGTTCTGATTATTCACTTACCGCCGAGCTGATTATGGCAGAGTTCAGTTCTGATTAGTCACCTCAGAGGCGGAACAGGATAGTCGATGCGTGGGCAGAGCGCCAAGGAGTGGGCGGTCCACAAGGTCATCGGACCTTTTCTATCCTCAGATTTGTATCAGTGCACGGCTACTGTTTTCTTCTTAGTTTCATTGCTCAGTAATTTAGGAAAGTCTCTCAAGCAACTGTGCTACGGTAAATTACCTGAGAAAACGGAGTAAGATTAGCTACAATCGCTGCACATATTGTGAAACTGTTGCCGGGCCAGACGCGAACAAGTAGAGCATGGCTCCAGAATTCGGTAGCCTTGACGATGAAGGCGCGTTATCTTAACTCAAGCTCGCAAAAAATTCTCTGGTGATAAATATAGATAGATTATTGTCGGTATTTGCAAGTGTTCCCATTAAGCCTAGGCTCGTTTTTCTACTAGTACACGAGGGTTTATTAACTAAGTGTGAACATGTTTGTGGGTACCTACATGCAGCACTCCCAGAATGCCTGAGCTTCGAGGTCGTATAGGAGTGACGATGATGTAAAGTAAGTTATATCACGTTTCAAAGGCTCAATAAGCCGACAGAAGCTTATTGATCCTCGGATAATTTATTCTTCGTCCGGTATGCGAAAATAATCTATGAGGCAGGAAATTTGTGATCATCAAATAATTTATTCTTCATCCAGGGTGCGAAAATAATCTATAAGGCAGGAAATTTGGGATCTTCAAATAATTTATTCTTCGTTTCATATGTGTAAATCCATCAGGCAGAAAATTTGTGATCGTCCAATAATTTGTACTTCAATTCGGATTGTGGAAATCTCCGAGTCGCTTGGAGCCCGTGTAAGATTTATTTGGACTTCTCAAGCTAGTGCCACACGATATTCATGAATCAGGTTATCAGAACAAGAACTCGGGTGGAGTTTCAAGGTCCCTGATGAGTGTCGGAGTCTGCAGGAACCGTGTATGGCGGCTTGCATTTACACACCTGTCGGCAGATCAAGACAGCCTGTATAGGCGTATAATTTATGAACAGCGAATCCTGTACATTCACTGTACATTCGCATTCAATGTACTCTTTTTCTGACTTTTGACATTTTAACGAAAAGCAGCTTTTAGCTTTATACATATTCTCATAGGGCTATATTTTTTATATACAGCGTTGCATTATTCGTAATTTAATATTCTGTTTCTTTTTTCTTTCAGGTCTCTGCACAATACAACTTGGGACACGGTATACAAAGAGAAATTTTCTTCTTGAATTTAGAAGACGGATATTTCGGCTGTCAAGTGAACGAGTCGAAGGAGATCCTCCAGCTTTTTGAGTTATCCAAACTCTGTGATGGATCCCCGAACTGCTTCTTGGCTTCTGATGAAAACATACAAGAACTCAAATGCTCAAGTGAGTTAAATTGATATTAGTTAATTGAAAGAATTCTTAACAGAACTAATAAGTTAAAGCATGTCTCAAAATTTACTAAAAGACTGAGCTGCGTTTGTCTGCGTTCATTGATATGCAAACTTACTCTTAATGGGTTATAGACCATAAAATTAAATTGTCCATATTTCTGTTTATGAAAAATAGCGGAATATTCCTTGCTGGTCTATGTTCGCCGCCCACTTCTACATTGTACTCCAAATTCCATGTAATCATAACCCGGAAAAACTGGACATCTCGCATTGGGCGGTGGCTCCAAATTCTACTGTAACGCGTCCTTCACAGAGACGTCAAAATCGCTAAGCAAATATGCATGGTTTCAAAAAAATTTCACCTGAATTGATTGTTATTTATTGATATTTTTAAAACGACGTCGTATTTTGGAGATTGTGAATACAATTCATGATCGAGTGACTGATCATAGATCGTGAAAATATGTACAATTTTGGAGACACGTTGTTTTCAGTCAAGTTTGACAGACAGAGAGTAGAATTAAAATTAAGTCTAATTAAGTTACAAGTTTAATAAATGTTTCCGTACTACATATAATATACAAAAGGGATAACACACAATCTAGTATATTATTTTTGAGTAGATTTGATAGTGTTGAATATTTTACCAGTCATATAAGGATGAGCGAACGAGTCTCTCGAGAGCTGTGATGAAGTCAGGGCCCTGGTGGGCACTAGTTCACTAGTTGACCTCCGGCCGGCATGGCAGTTCCATATAAGCGCAGTCATGAAGGGTAACGAACTTTGTCAGACGCAGCGCCCCTCTGCTTGCAACCCTCGTATCTCATGCTTGCTGAGTCATGCCATTCCTCTCATCCTCGTACTTGCTGGGTCATGCCACCCCCAGTGCATTCCCTTCTTTCTTGCTGGGGCATGTCTTTCCCCTCACTTCCCCTTCGTGCCTGCTAGGTCATGCCTTTTCTTTTTCATTCCCTTGTTCTTACTGGGTCGCGTACTGTGTTGTGCTAGGTAGAAATTATTTTGACGATTACATCTGTATCATTTTTCAGTAACCAATAACAAAAATCTAAAATTTATAACAACCAATCTCATGTTATAGTTCAAACATACTTACTGTATTCATGTCATGTAAAGCTTAATTTTGATAGAAACGCCTGAAGCTGCTTACGCTCGAGGTATGTATGAGTTCGAGTGAATGTATAACGAAAATCGTCCACTTATTCGGCTGTGGTCATGACTGCGTGCGCGAGAAAGCTACGAAGAAAGCAAAAGTGTCGGCTTCGGTAAGGCTGACGAGGCGCCTATACTTGAGATCGTGTCGCTCACGCGTCACTCGCCGGTCATCGCTGTGCCGCCGTAACTTCGTATCATCGTAACGTTGGTTAAGATATCATTAAGAGTTAGGTTGTTATAGTCACCTACGAGTTAACGATAAGCTTCGCACATGACTAGCTACTTGTGATCTCATTAAGCCTCGGTTTGTTACACTTCCGACGAGTTATGGAGAAGTTTCTTTTGTTACTAGCCACTTGTGATCTCATTAAGCCTTATGTTGTTATACTTACCTACGAGTTAACGAAAAGCTTCGTATATTACAGTATTACTAGCTACTTATGATCTCATTAAGCCTCAGGTTGTTCTGCTTAACGAGATAAGGAGAAGTTTCTTATATTACCAGCTGCTTTTCGTCCCTTACCGGTTTAGTGAGATGCCAAGTGGAATATGTCGGAAAACAATTATAATTCTGAGGTTTGCTTTAAGCTGAACAAGCGATGTGTTATCCTGACCGCTTATGATTTTGTACCGGAACGGTAAGAGTTTATGGACCATGCATTTGAAATTTATTTATTGTTCTTGCTCAACTGTACGGGATTTTTTACAGCGGCTGTAGCTACGATTTTCGAAACTCCCGCAAAAACTTGTTACCTGTTCTAGTGTGAATGAATCTTGCTGCTATCTATTTTCTGCTGGTCTCTGGCAATCTTTGCCTGCTACTTCGTACGCCTTGACCGAGTTTGGTGGCGGCGCTTGAAAAAAATTTCAAACTTATGGCACGATGGCCGAATTCTCAATCTGCCAGATACTTGAATCTTTTCGAGAAACTGAAATTTAATAATGATACGGTCTTCAGAATAAAAAATAAAAATACCTTTAACATTTACCCATTGAATTAAACTCTTTTTTCAAGTTATTTGTGATTATCCATTAAAGCACAGAATGATGACCCCGTTCCAAACTTCGGAATGATCCACTTCTTCACAGTCAGTTCCACATGAGCATGGATAAAGGCATGCAGTTTCGTAACAAGCATAATATACGTATGCTAAAAGCGCTCAGAGCTCCGGCAGACGCAACCCCAATGGTGTAATATGCAGCGGTCTTGTCTGCGGAAGTGAAGTGAAAACTCTAAAGGTGGGGGCAGAAACGAGGCCAACGCAGCCCGAACAATGCAGATCCAGCAAGCAACTCTCACTGCTTATGATATAGAGCTTGTCTGCATGTTGAGTCGTGCGACTACTTCGATGGCCATGCCGCCATGCAGGAACCTGGGCCACTTTCTTTCTCTTCGGAGTAGCTTTGAGTGGCAGGAGAAATGTTTCAGGATCAAATAGATAGCTGTAGTAGAGCCTTTCAAACTAGAGTTCGATGCAAGGTAGAGCAGGAATTGAAAATTTATTAGATTAAATTACTTGAAATCTGAAAGCGTTTATTGTTGAAATCTATGCTTCCTTTTTGTAGGAAGAAATAGGCCCGCGTCCAAATCTGTCCTATCAGCTTATGTGTATCTCTAAGCAAATCTTTTTAAATTCTGCTATTCATAGAAACGAATTTCGGTACAATTGCATAATATTAAATAATTTATTCAATTCTTGAGTCTGGTATGATGTCAAAGATATTGCAAATGCCTTGCAATTGCAAGAAAAGTTTCGCAATTAATGCTGTAGCAATAGTGCGATGAATTGAACAGAATATGATGTACTCTATATTATAACTCCCAACACCATTGATATATTGAATGAGAAATTAAGATACTAATTCCATGGATGCATAACACAAAACGCTCCGAAAATTATAAAAACTTGTATAATTACGCTCCTATTCCAAAGTTTGTATATGCAATTTACCCTTGATTTCTCTTGACGATGACATGGGAGCTTACTAGCAACGCCATGAGAGCTAATATATCTCTTAACGGATCATGTACAGAAGCCTTGCGTTAGGGAATACAGTAAACGTAAGATTACCGTGCTTTGGATTATCTCACCGACTGTTGCTAGTAATTACCCTCTCTTGGAAAAAAAACTAAAAAATTTAATATAAAACTTAATTTTGTTGCCTAATCGACATTTTTCATCGACTACTTACTTTGTACATGCAACTCTACATTGGAAAATAAATGTGTCATATTGTCAAAATAATATGGCTGTTAAGAATCCTGTTTGAGGATTAAGGGTTGTTTGGCAAACAGTAACGAAGACACGGTTTCGTGGGATAGCACTTATTTACCGGTTTCTGAAACAATATTGAATATACCTAGTATAGGGAACACGTCTAAATAATGACATAATCACAGTTCGTATTCCAAATAAAATAAATTTACTCTAAAAAATTACTGAAAATCAATCCTTACAAAATTACTGGATCTGGCGTGTAACCATCTCAGCTGGCGGACGAACCATAAATGAGTTTGCGGATACAAATAAATTTTTTCTCTGGAATAATCGACCTACAATAAATGAAGATGCTTTAAACAAACGCTTTACGTACGTACGGTAGTACTGATAGGCCATTTAGCCGAGTGTAATTGGATCTGCATGACCCACACCAGGGCAAGAAGTGAATCGCTTTTTGGACAAAGTCTCGCCCATTTCTCTTAGTGTATTGGCATTAAGTAAGCGAATTTCACTGTAAAGCTCAATCTCATGGCCTTATTGCTCGCTCAACGTCTTGCCATTATTTGAAGAAATGTAAGGCTAATATTGCCCATTATAGGTCCTTCAGCGCAGCATGTATTTCTACCTAGAATATAGTGACAGCTCCTCACGCTATCCTGCCTTGAATATAATGACGGTACCTCACGCTATTACTGTTTACTGCTCTATTGCCCCCGCGTGATATTTGAGTGCACTACAGCGCTGCCAGTTGAGTAGCTAACTCCTGAACAACAATGAATAAGTTGGGTGAATATTCGCCCTGCTTTTCCGTGATCTCAAAAGTTCGTTAATAATAACCTGCCTATTTTACGACGGACACTCTTTGATTTACCATGGGACCTCTTGTAACTGTAATAAATTGGATTGTTCATGCCAAAAATATGACTTGAATTGCTCAAAGCTCAATGCAGACATCGATTTTGTGTTTTTTTTTATCACAGTTGAAATTTGTTATGGCATTGCACTTGTTCTATCCTGTGTAACAAGTTCTTCTCAAGCGCATACTTTACTTATAAATACGTATTAGTTTATTAATTTTTAATATGATGATAACTTCAGATATCTCAGCCAGATTATTAATTCTCTGTTATTTACTTGTTTCAGATGACTGCCCCTACACTCAGGGATATCAGTGTGTAAATGGAGCGTGTCTGCAGGGCAACTGTCACTGCAATGACGGCTTCGGCGGTTGCGGGTGCGAAACTCCCGGTGAGTGCTTTTATTCACTTTCTTTTATCAAATTATACAACCAAGGAAAATTATAAGGATGTTATAAATTTTCTTATAGTTCATCCACCATACATTCGAAGTAAACATGCTATGTAATTGTGAGTAAATTTTTGTGTGCTATGGAAGAATTGGAAAAATGTTTTGAAACAACCGATTTTGACCTCAACCCTAGTGTAATTGGAGCTCCTTTTACATATTACAAAATTATTGGCGCTCTGTCGACTGCAGTCTTACTAACTCAATTAATTACCGTACAGCATATGGTCCATGAATAACTTTAATACATAATAAATTTTTCCAGCCCAGTCGGAAGGTAGGGACCTTAGCCTCAGTAAGTTAACAATTAATACAATCATAATCAATTGTGGTCAAAATCATCAGCAAGATAGTTAACCGCTGAAATTTTTTTCAATTCAAAACAATCATCAACCTCGTTTTAAACACGCACATATTGGCGCGAAATTGTTTCGTTCCGCTTAAGGCTTACATCTCCGAACCGCTTGCGCTTCCACGAAAATTAATTTATGAACACAATTTAGGTTTAGACGTAACAGAACAGAACCTCAATCTGAGTTTAGAAGGAACAGAACCGTTTATTGGCTCCCATGAAGTAGGGGGCCCTGCGGCCATCTTGAGTGTGGCATCCACGTCATTATTTCGGTTCTTTCATTACGCAGCGAAGATGATGTAGGCGGCAACCGCGCCTCAGACGTACCACAAGAGAACGTTATCATTTCTGTTAACGTATTATCCGTATTACCGCATTATCATTCTATGTTATCGTCTTACCGATGCCGGGGTTGAGGCTGCTAGAGTTCCTTTTAGATTTAAGTTAAGATTTATTGAAGATAACAGGATTTGGCGATTGATTTAGGGGTGAAAACATTTGAAAAAGACTGATTCAAAAAAATTGGGTAATATTGAGAATAGCTGGGACATTGTTAATATAAGTCAGATATTGTGAAATGAGCGCACGAACCCATGCAAAATTTAGATGTTAGATTTTTCTCGCTTAAATGTAGCGCGAGCGTTAAGAGTGAACTTTTTTGAAAGATGTAATCATCGAGGTTATTTAACGTTAAATTTATAATCAACTTTTTAAAACAATATTCAATTGAGATTGAATTGTATGTTAGTCTGCCAGAAAAATTCTTTGATTTACCGGTTCAAAGTGCTCTTTCGTTCTTCATAAGTGTGTTATGAGCTGTCACATTAATTGCATCTAATGTCGTGCGTGGTATCATGTGTCGTGCGTCGCATGATATTTTACTACAAAAAGCAGTCTTAACGACGTTTTATGGGCGCTGCCTTCGCTTCGCTGCCTACACTAAGACCTAAGCTAGTGACGCACGTCACACTCAAGAGCTGAGTCATGATAAATCTCTTATATTAGTCCATTTACTGATTTTTTCCATGGACAAGTCATAGTAATTTTATTCTCTAGCTACTGCAATATTTATGCTTCGTTGTAGAGAAATGATCGCATTAATTTTACGCTAAAATTCATATTCTTGTTTTGGGAATCAAAGATAAGTGGGACAAAAGTTGATGCTGGCAGCTGAGTTTCACGAAAAGGCACGTTGAATCAATTAATTAAATCCATTAGCCAGAGCCAAGTACTTGCGGACGACGAGCTTGTAGATTTTCGAGTGCAATTCCGTTCCATTTGAGAGCGCATAGCATAACTGTACTGGGCTATTGACGCAGCTCCGCTTCAGAAGCTCTGCTCCTCATACACGCTCTGCTCATCTTCTTTATCGCTGCTAAATGTTAAGAGATATTCTGAGGAAAATCCCGTAGTGCACACGATTAGCAGCACCTCGACAGCCGTAACCTACGTGCACGGTCACACTTTGTTGGGTGCGATTCAAAGTCTTGGTGAGTAAACACTACTTAGGTACCGTGGAATCTGTTTGTGGGGAAGAAAAATATATAAGTAATGTTGACTACCTAAGTTGGTGTTGAGCCTTGTATACGGGAAGCTGCTCTTGCCTGCAGCTGCTCCAAGGTAATGGCCATGACACGCCCCATGTCACCGCAGCGAAGAAGCGGTCCTGCTGGTTAAGGCGCTCAGGTCACGGAGGTTCAACGGAGAACCCACAACTCGGGGCTCAGGATACCGATCATTGTTCCTCCGGTCACGACTGCCCAATCTTACCTCGCCGACGTTTATGACAAATATCAAAACTATTTGACAACAAGCGCTCTCTGTCAGCTCTTGAATTACTGGTTAACCGTACCATCATTTTTAATCATCGGTCTCATCGATACTTTTGCTTGTTTGTGTGGACCATCTCCTTGTCTCACGAACCTTGTTTCTGTTGCAGACGAGAACGAGTGCAAGTACCGTCCGTGTGACGTGTTCGCCTCGTGCACCAACACGCTGGGGTCCTACTTCTGCACCTGCTTCCCGGGATACACGGGGGATGGCGCCACGTGTCAGGGTGAGCTCACAAAATCATATTTTACTTTGTCCAATTCTCTAATTTTTCTCTAAATTAATCCTAATTGACAATAACGTCATCATATTTATAGTTTTCTTTAATGAATCATATTATTGAATTTTGTGGTTGTTTCTATTGAAAAAAAGTGCTCTCAAAATATTCCAAATGATCTGTCTCTTTTCTTATTACAATTTCCGTTGGAAATGATATCTCTCATTGAAAATTAGTTTAACAGTAATATTTCCTGTTAATACTTTTGTTGGGACTCGCGCTTAATCATGCGTGACAGTCACGATTATATTTGTTACGGCGTGAGGTGTGGTCTGCACACGTGGGATTTCTTAGCTCCCCGCTAACTGTACTCGTAACTGCACGTCTCAATAACTCCCCCCGCTACGCGCGCATCAGCGATGCTGCGCACTCACTTACGCTCCCCTCATCCGTGAATCCTGGCCATTTGCGCCGACTCTTTGCCAGCGGAGGAAAGAAGCAAAGCATTATGTGTGTCTGACGATCAATTTGCCAAAGATGTTTACATTTGAACCAAGTTGCATGAGGATTTGATCCGAGTTGCATGAGAGAGCACTAAGTTTTGTCGACTCATCGTGAACTAACGAGAGGATAAAGAGCGATCAAGAAGAAAATTTTCTCAGGTCACAAAATTCGTGGGATTTTCCTCCGGCTTTCCAAAAACTGTAAACTTCTGTACACTAATTGGTTAAAAATTATGGTAATGCCACGATTTAGTAGCTGTGTACGGATACTGAAGCGATTCTTTCATCAAAGTTTTCCGATGAATATTTACTGAACGTTGTTTATAAAGTTCCGTTCACAGCTGCTTTGAAACCTTAAGGCATGTAGCGCACACTGGAATAACTGTATATTTCGACGAATAAGTGTATTTTTTTACCCTAATGGCGTCCGTTACCGTAAGAACTAGCTAAGAAATTAACGGATGAACGCATTTCTTAATCGGTTCGCCGATCTCGCAAGATCGTAATGGATTTTCAAAAATATTCTACCAGTAAGCTGAGAACGGCGCGCTTAGATGAGCGTGAAATTAACTGTTCTTCTTATTTTCTTTGCAATCGATGTCCAGCATGCATGACTTTCTTGGTCAGCGCCAACCGCATACTTTGCGCTGGAATCTTTCTTCCTTGACAGCATTACTCAAATCTGCTGGTTCCATGATTTATGTCATATTCGTTTCTTACAATTTCTGTTCGTTAACGGTCTATTTCTGATCGCCAATAGAATAGAAATATCGGCACTGACCAAAATAGGCGGCCCTTTGCCTGTTGCCGATTCTTGTACTTTTGCTGACTTGATTCCACAAGAGATCCTGCCCTCTGAACCCGATCTATCCATAACTGACGATTGTTTGAGATGATGAGAGTTATGAGATAATGACGGAGATGCTGTCGTATCCTGATTTTATGTGCGGATGTCATCTGGCAGACGTCAGCAAATTATCCGTTGTGGAGAAAAACCTAAGCCTTACTCTAGGGAGCAGTTGCAGTCAAAAGTTTGCAGTGTAATGGGTTCAGTGCTCCTCAACTTCATCATCTTTCCTGTGCCCGGACCGAGGACCGTTGCAGTCAAAAGTTTGCAGTGTAATGGGTTCAGTGCTCCTCAACTTCATCATCTTTCCTGTGCCCTAGCTGCTCCGCGGGAGGAAGTTCGTGGTTGCCAAGAATGGCTTCTCGCACAACGGAGCGACAATAAAAAATTGAGCTCGAGATCACGGAGAGCGTTGAGATATGATGCTGGCGTGCAATCAAACTAGATTATAAGCTTCTGGTGTGAGTATTGTTGCGTTAAATTGCGTAATTTTTCGGGTTTTGATTGGCGCTGTTGTACTGTAAGTGCAATTCTACCATATACTGATACTGAAATAAAATAATAATTTATTTTATCACTAACACCAAACAATTAATTTCAGGACTTGAATCACAGCTAAGACAAATCGCAATTGTCGAAATATTTCCATAGATGCCACCGCGTTGTGTTACTTGTTGGCTCCTTAACTTCTTAACCAACCTGATCGACTTGCAGCCTACGCCTGCTAACCTGCAAGCATAAGGTTTCTGTTGCCATGCTATTTACGCTTGATAACCATCAAACATGAGGCATTCTGTTGCCGTACAACTAACCCTTGCTAACCTGCAAACATAAGGTTTCTCTTGCATTATAATTTACGCTTGATAACCTGCAAACCTGAGGCATTCTGTTGCCGTGAACCTAACCCTTGCTAACCTGCAAACGCAAAGCCTCCTGTTGTCGTGCAACCTGCACTTGCTAAACGGCAAACACAAAAGGCTTCCTGTTGGCTGGCAACCTGCAATGCTCAGGTCTCCCGTTTAGGACCAGGGTTCGTGTCTGAACACCTATGATTGTTGAACATTCTGGCCAGGAGCCGTGACCTTAGCAAGAGCTTATAATAATACTTTACGCTCATTCTACCTTACTTTAGCCAATTCATATACCGGATTCTCGTGTCGTAGTATTCACCATCGTGGCATTGTTACTTTTTCAACTTCCTATGCAAATTGATACAAGAATTGTAAAATTTGATCTCAAGCAACGCTTCCTGTGGCACTAATGACTGGCAGTTATGTTGAACCTTAATAGGAACTCCAATTCGAATTCTAATTCAATTATTGTAATGATAATTTAACTTTAACTCAACAACTCAGTCGACATTGCATTTTATCTGCAACAAAATCCTGGTCGCAACGGGGAATAAAACTCGTCTCCTGGCATGTGATGACGTATAAGCTCAGCCGTGCACACTTGTTTTAGAATAGAAGTGTCGGCACTGAAGAAATAGGCCTATGGCCTGTTGCCAATTCTTGCTTTTTTGTGACTTGATTCACAAGGGTTTTTATTTAAAGAAATGCAAAGCCACGTACACTAAAACTACATAGACGAGATAGACCTTGCATTTACTTTTCGTTTATATGAGCATCCCAATGTTGAATTTCGGTGAGTCCCTGCACTGTTGAGTTTCTCGAGTCACGCGGGTTATCGACAATGATCCTGCATGTTCGACACGACCGACCATCAACGAATCCACAGATAATCAGAACCTGAGGTTTTGTGTTGCAGCCTCTAATGAAAATCAATATCCAGTCGAAAGCTAATAACTAACCCCACGTCACGGCAGCCATTTGTCTCTACTATTTTTAATTAGTATTAATTCTAGAATACTGCGCCATAGATGCACTGTAACATAGTATAAGTGCAGAATTGACGTTCGCGCTTATTTTAAGTTCGATCTCTGGAATGCATGTGTGTCAATTGTCCAAAAAGTATCAAATACCTACATTTGAAATAAAAAATGATCGATAGTGTGTATTTTCATGAACATATATGCGCATAAAAGTTAATAAAATTGAAACCTCATCACATTAAAATCGAAACAGCAGACATGTGTCTGGGTCTCGCAGACGCCACGAGTTCTCACGAGGCACATAAGGCACTGAAACTTTCCTTTCTTTTGCAAGCCGGTTATGCGCTCTGCTCTGCCCGCTCAGCTTATGAAGCTCGTACAATGGAATTCAGAATCTGAACCAAGTACTTGCATGATTGCTTTCACGTTCAGATGTTTCAAACGTTCTCTTCCGGGACACAAGCTGTTCACAAATCTAGAGAAGAAAACAATCTATACAGATGATTCAGTTATCGGTAAAATTTTCAACCGTCTTGTAACAGTATACGTAAATTGCTTATTAGACATCATAGTATCTAATAAAAATATTGTGTATAATATATATCGTAGAGTGTGTTTGGTAACTGTTTCTTCAAGACCTATGACATTGCATTTTTATTTGTCATTATTATTCATCTCATTATTATTCATTTCATTCCTATTCTTCTCAGTATTATTCATGTCATTCTCATTCAGCTCATTCTCGCTCATTTGCGTGAAGACGAACGCGTTTAGCGAGGTCGCAAGTTGATATCTCACGATCCTGGGCCTATACTTTCAAAAAAAGTTAAGAGATCGTAAGTTTATCAGCCAATCAATCATTGACGGCCTTTCAAGCAAATTGGTCTTTTCAGGACAATAACTTACACAAATCAGCCTCTGTAATTTCCTTTCCGTAACTAATTTTTAATTTTAGATTATATTTTAAGTGTAATTACGACGTTTAATTACGTTGTTGGGGCGTGTGACAGATGAGGGCGGATCTTCCTGGACACCATTTACCGAGTCTGCGTTAATTGCTTTCACTTGAAATAACGGCATTTATCTTTTATTTCACTCACTGAATGCCATTCAGTTCTCCGTTACATTGCAAGCAATTGCGAAGCTTGCCGTTTGGGAGGAGCCGTTAATTGTTGCTTGCGTCGGAGCCTAGTTTGATTCCCTGTTGGCGTTCAGTACAGTGCAGGCAGAGCTTCATTTGATTCATTTTCTTCTTTATGAGCCTGAATTACTGGTGTATGACCATCAAGTCATATCGGCAGATGTTGATTAATGATCATTCATCACTGGCACTGGGCTATTATGCTGCCTGAAATAACTCAGTATGCAAATTTTGCATCCGTAAAGATTGCTAAAGTGGAAAAAAACTTTCGTATTCAATACTCGTGCGAATTTTTTTCCTGAAATCAACTCCGAGTTCCATACTTGATCACGTGGCACGAAAATTGACAGCATGAACACGCCAGACGAAGAACAGATGTTCCTCGAGCACCCGGGCCTGCATGGCGACTCTTTGTGTCGGGCGTCCCCTCGTGTCGGGCGTCCCCTCGTGTCGGGCGTACCCTCGTGTCGGGTGTCCCCTCGTGTCGGATTTCCCCTCGTGTCGGGTATTCCCTCGTGTCGGGTGACCCCTCGTGGCGGGCGTCCCCTCGTGTCGGGCGTCCCGTCGTGTCGGGCGTCCCCTCGTGTCGGGCATCCAAACATATCGTGTGTCCCTTCGTGTCCCCTGTAAATATTCTGAGCGTCTTCCATGGTCAGGTGGGACATAAGGGCGGCGATCTCGTGACGGAAAAACGGAACTCCCTCGTCACGAATCTGACCGCCGTCCATTTTTTTCATTAACGGTCAGTAACTGATCCCGAAGACGACATCTATGCAGGATATGCGATAACGAGTTAAATATTTCGCTGTTAATAAAGTTTTTAATAATTCTTAGGGGATGGCATCATCATTTACTCAATGTTTTAATCATCTTAAATATGGTTATGATGCGCGGCGCTCAAGCTCAGCCAGTCTGGATGATCGCGAGACACGGCGCTCTGCAGCGCGCGGAGGTCAACGTCTCCGCGACGCGCTGCTCAACGGCTGAGTTGAACCCTGCCTCCCCCCTCCCTTCTACTCTCTTCCCCCTCCCCCTTCCTCCTACTCTCTTCCCCCTCTTCTCTTGCTCCCTCTTCTCTTGCTCCCCCATCTTCTGTGGTCCTTTCCTGGCTCAGGTACTTTTTTGGCAGGTCGTCTGCTTTCTCTCATCAATTATCTCGTGCCTTATGCGCATACCTCCATCGACAGTGTATGACATTTATTAAACATGCGCGGTTGTTTAGATCCGTGTCATGATTTCTCTATTTATTAACTGTGAGCATCTATGCCTGTGAGCGTCCATGCAATATGTTGTATGCTCGCAACTTGTGCACTGCCACGCGAAACTTTCGCTGCTTCAATTCACAAGACCTCACATTAAATTTATTTAAATCCGCCTCATTAATTTCCCCCGTATTATAAGCTTAAGCTTTAAGAGTCAAGCATCCTGCTTGCGCTCTCATTGGTGTTGCGTGTTGGGCTGGCGGTTGCCCGCGTTTGACTTTACCACCACAACAATAGGCGCTCGTTGCGCTGCGTACAGCCTTCAAGTTCATGACTGGCGTCTGAATGCATCCATCCACTATTGCTGCACCGAGTCTGCCGTCACCTGACGCAGTAGTAACAAAGTGATGCGTATTGAAGATCTAGATAACGTCTAGTGTGGAGGAATGTACTTCAGAAAATTATCAACTTTGGGGAATCATTGCTCTTGTTCCTCATGTTTCTTTGTTGTGTTAGTGCTAGGCGAACGTACGAAGACACTCAGTTTTTTTCGTTGAGATTTCGTCTTTGTGCATGGGTATTTCATTGCTTGTTGACGTTTCCTTTCTATATTTTGTTGACATTCGCATACTGCTTTACCGTTTGGTACATCTTTCTTCGCATTTTACGTTCGTCAATCATTGTTATCTTATATAGAGACCTAATGCAAGGCATTTTCTTAACTGAAATTTATGTCCTGAGAATTTTCAAAACTTTTTAAATGCGGCGTATCACCGCTTGCTGTTTTTTTCTCTGGGTGAAGACTAGACTTCCTTGTTAAGATACAGTTTACGTGGCGCTCTTCATCAGCACATTACAGGGAGCGAAAGCATGCTCACCCTCACCCTCACCCCCAAGCAATGCTCACCCTCACCCCCAAGCAATGCTCACCCTCACCCCAAGCCATGCTTCTTCTCACCTCAACTCATATTCACCTTCACCCTCACCCCAAGCCGTGCTCACCCTCACCCCAAGCCGTGTTTCTCCTCAACTCATATTCGCCCTCACCCCAAGCAATGCTCACCCTCACCCCAAGCCGTGTTTCTCCTCAACTCATATTCACCCTCACCCCAAGACGAGCCTTCAACTGATGAGCGCATTCATCAGCCTAGTCTCGCCTGCTCAACAGCTCTGCTCTCCTGCATTCGAAATGTCAATTAACATTTTTACCACGTTTTTCTTAGCTCGCTTTCTTGTCTGTGATGATCAAATCTTGCAATCGATATTTCACCAACTTTCTCGTTAGCTAGCGCTCTGAAACTTTTAGGGAAGCTCAGCTCCCGATAACAATACAATAATCAATAATTTGTTGCACGTTTCCAGGCGTATAAACTCTAAAGGAACTCACAAGCAGGGGTTGGAACCTTTAATGCACGTCATCCTCGAGAGGATATTCGTGTTATGCGCCCCACGTTTTTCGTTTTAGATGTTGTAAAATATTTTAACTGAAATACAAAAGACCAAGAGAATGAAAGCAAACAGAGATTAGTAGCTGCCGAAAAATTATTTTCTACTTTTGAGTCCACATGAAAAACGTGGTCTTTAAAAATTTTTTTTATACATTTTATTTTGACAAGTCTCTATTAGGCTCACCGTAGAATGCATGGAACTTGTGCGAGCCTGACAGGGTTTGTGTTTCTTCATTTCTTCTGGGAAAACTCTGCTTGACTGCGCGTGGATGGAGCTAAAATGCCCAATGTTTCCTTTATTTTAATGTTCTAAAAATTCAACCTCTTGACTTTGACTCTCATCCTTGTTTATGTTGGCATTTGGCGTTAGACTATAATAATATAAAAAGAAACCAATCTTTGGCGAAACTCTCACCTACTTTGGATACGAAAGTATTTAGTTTACATTAATAATACAACCTGCATTCCCTACCTAATGCTACAATGTCTCTTGATGAAATCTACGAGTCATTAGTGGAGACCAATGTATGAACTTTCTACTGCATTACCACAAATGTGGTCAATCTCCTCAGTTCGAAAACGAAAGTTCGTCTTTCCTGAAGTTTGAGTAGCCACAAAGCGGTTCCCAATAGAGAGCCGAACAAGAATGCAAATTTATCCTCTGGTCTGAGTGACGTCGAGGGGCATTAGCGAAATTGCTTCGTCATCGTCATCACATGGCGTTCTATCGATGAATATTGTTGTTAGTATCCGAAAAGGATGATGAGGAAATGTACGAATTTAGAAAAACAGAGAATGTGATACCAATCACGCACAGCAGACTCGGTGTCTTGATACACAGGTGCTGTTATTCTTCCACTCTTGAGTTTCAGCTTTTGAGTTCATTTGGAATGCAAGCGCCAGACTGCAGCTACTGACGCCGAGGTCGGCTGCAGTATAGTTGCAGTAGCCCAAGCAATAATATTGGGTCTTTGCCTATACCTCATCATTGTGAGGTATTGGGTCTGATTGTGAGATGTAAGGTTTGGTGGTGAGTTATAGGGTCTGGTGGTGAAGTATAGTATCTGAAAGTTAGGTACAGGGTTTGTTGGTGAGGTACATGGTTTTGTGGTGAGGTATTGGGTATGGTGGTTAGGGACAGGGTCAAGTGTTAAAGTCCCGGGAAAGGTCTGGTGGAGACGTCCAGGGTCTGGTGGTGAGGTACAGGGTCTGGTGGAGAGGTACAGGGTCTGGTGGTGAGTTACAGGGTCTGCTAGAGAGGTACAGGGTCTGCTAGAGAGGTACAGGGTCTGGTGGATAGGTAAAGGGTCTGGTGGAAAGATATAGGGTCTGCTAGAGAGGTACAGTGTCTGGTGGAGAGGTACAGGGTCTGGTGAAGAGGTACAGGGTATGCTGGAGAGGTACAGGGTCTGGTGGAGAGGTACAGGGTCTGGTTATGAGGTACAGGGTCTGGTGAAAGTGTCTGTCTTCGAGGGTGGAAGGCGTCGCCCCGAAGAACCAAGACTATCATCTCATAATTCGCTTCAAATATTTTATCCCAGAAAGGGTCCTGCAACGACGCCACGCTATGTCGCTTGACATGAACCAGAGACACTGAATAGAAGTGGAAATTACGAATCTCTATTTTTATCAGTAAATCTAAGTTGAAATTTATGCTATAATACCAGAGAAAAATATTCAATACTTCAAAAAATATTCTATAAAGACATGGAAACATGAAACAGCTTATCGATGGTTTGAATCTAATAAAACGTTTTCGGTTACTTTGATCCTCGAAGTGTTCATGACGAAAATGTACAAATCAAATAGATGAACATTGAACAACCTGCAAAGTTAAACTGCAGGTTAATTTTATTGCTTATGTGATGTTCATTTTTCTTTGTTATTGTTTCATCAGACATCGATGAGTGTCAAGACCCAGCGGTCGCAGGGCGCTGTGTGGATAACGCCTGGTGCTGCAACCTGCCCGCGCACTACACATGCAAGTGTAATGACGGATACACCGGCGACGGATACGTTCAGTGTGCAGGTGTGTGTTCTTGTGATTGTATTATTGTGTGTGCAGCTTTGTGTTCTTATATGTATATGTGTAGGTATTGTTGTGTGTTCTTGTGTGTGTGTATTATTCTGTGTGCAGTTGTGTGTTATTGTGTGTAAGTGTGTGTTCTTGTGTGTGTGTATTATTCTGTGTGCAGTTGTGTGTAAGTGTGTGTTCTTGTGTGTGTGTATTATTGTGTGCGCATTTGTGTGTTCTTGTGTGTGTGTATTATTGTGTATGCAGGTATGTATGCTCAAAAGTATACAGGTGTGCTTTTTTTGCTTTAAAAATTTCCTTTCTTTTTATGCAATACCTAACATAGTTAATGAATTGCTCAGTTGATGCAAAATAGGCTTAGTGCCCTCAAACACAAAACCCTAATTAATTATTATTTTAATTGCACATGATGGATCAATTAAAACAAATCAATTCAGTATTTTTATTACTTAATTGTAGTTACAGTGGAAAAAATTCGAGTTTTTACATATTAGGACATGCATCATGATTAGTTACATAGAATTGATGATTTAATGACAGATGCATTAGTTCTTGTATTATCACACCACCGCATTTTGTGTTTCACTGTGTAGTTATGAACTAAATGCTGCGTTTCCTTACGCCTCTATATGACGTGGAATGCGGACGTGGAAGTTTAAAGAATTTAGTTTGCCAGCTTAGACGTGAAATACAAGATTCCCTGTCTACTATCTGGAATTTGGCCTCATTCATATTTAAAACCTAACGCTGTTTTTTCCTCGAACTGTAAATGTATTGCCATGTAACAAAGATGCAAACTATAGGCTTATTAATAACAATTTTAGCCATTTTCTGGCTAATTAGTGATGGTGTCCGACAAGCGGGCCATTTGGTCAAATCACTTCTGTATGTACGTGATTTATGGGGAATTGCAGCTGGGTATGCTAAGGGTAATAAGGGTAAATGTCCCTAATAATACAGGAATAATATCCGTAATAATGCAGCAATAATATCCCTAACAATAGTAGGATAATGTCCCTAATAATGCAGGAGTAATATCCCAAGTAATGCGTGGATAGTTGCTTTCGTTTTCACTGAACTTGATGTTCTTTACACGCGGACCCACTGATCTGCGTCAATATATTACCTCTTGGAAATCTGCATAAAATTGTATTAAAAAAGTGCTGATCCGTTGCTGCTTCCATATTAAAAGTGGTCCATATTATTCACTTCAAGCAAAGTAACTGAATTTTTTCCCTAGGCTGACTTTCAGAGCCATAAATTCACAATGTAATCTGAGTTTATTACAATCCTCGAGTTGAGTTAAATTTCCATTTAATGATCTGTACAATCGGTTTAGGCGAAGAGGCGTTCTGTGTAGTTTATTTCTTCCCTGAATTCAAGGTGACGTTGATATCTGAGTTATTCGGTGCAATCGAGGCACGTTAGGGCGCAGCAAGCATACACGTAAAGGTCAAGGCTGTCAGCTTGACGGAGCGCGCGGCACCCCTTCTACCGAGGAAGTTATGCTACAGTTACACCGCTTGAGTTATGCTACAGTTACACCGCTTAGGTTATGCTACAGTTGCACCACTTCTACCGAGGAAGTTAGGTTGTAGTTGCACCACTTCTACCGAGGAAGACTTAGGTTGTAGCTGCACCACTTCTACTGATGAAGTTATGTTATAGTTGCACCACTTCTAACGAGGAAGTTAGGTTGTAGTTGCAATACTTCTAACGAGGAAGTTATGTTGTAGTTGCACCACTTCTACTGACGAAGTTATGTTGTAGTTGCACCGCTTCTACCGAGGAAGTTATGTTGTTGAACCATTTTTAGCAAGAAAATTGGTGCAGGTTCTGGAAAAATTGTGGTAACTCTACCGTGGAAAACTGATCGTTGTTGCCCGTTATAGACCGAGTGACATTCAGCAATACTGGCAGAGGATCAGAACACAAGATCCCGCCTGGATTCTGCTAACTCAGACGAGTTTGCGCTCCCGGTCCTTTTATGCCTGTAGGACCGTCGGCGCCACTTCCTCTTTCTCATCTTTCGCAGTTTAATTCTCAGTGCATTTTTCTGCCGTCATGCAGTCAGCGACAAGAGGTCTTTATCCACGTGCTTTTTAACTCTCCGCATGCATGCGTTTTTTCTAACGACATTGGCTACGTAATGCAGGGCACTTCATCTCCTGTAATTATTATCATCAGAATAGCAATAACGCACCGTTAGAAAACCTGCTGCCGACAATGCGCTTGGCTCGGCGTAAGGGTTTTCAAATTGGCTTGTCCAGCCTGCGGGGCTGCGGGTCTGGTGATGTCAGGGGTCGATGGTCCCGGCAGGCGCTCCCCGTACGGTACTGCGGGCACCAACTGCAGATCTCTGCGATGATAAAGACTCTCACGTCCAGCCTACTGCGGAAGCTGTTATGAAATGAAAATGATTATTCATTTTTTACATTGTTTTCTGCCCTGAACAGTCCATGGGATGTATATTGTCAAGGGTTCTTATGGAATGAGTTTTACGTTAGATTGGTTCTTCGTAGACGGCGTTTTTGTTCGTGTGTGCAGTTTTTTGACGGAATTACCAAACTTTTGATGTATTTTTGCTCGATAGTTGTTCACATGAAAAATTATCTCTTGCACTTTCTATATTAATATTTTACCACCTCCTCCACGACAGACATCAACGAGTGTCTGAACCCCGCCGCGTGTGGACTCAACGCCATCTGCACCAACAACCCTGGCAACTACACGTGCTCGTGCCCTCCGGGATACATTGGCAACCCGTACACTGGAGTAAGTACTTCTTGTTCGGTTATCTTTAACTTGATCGACTTCAATTTAATTTCGACTTTCTACCACGTGAATAACGAAAAGTTAATTTCATCCGATTCCTAGACTTATCACATTTACACCAGGCTGTTTCAATGGAGAGTTTCAGGAGCATTTCTGTGACCTATACCTAAATGAGTTATGTTTGCTTTGTATTATTTTACTGATGTCGTGCAAATATTTATGCTGCTGCCGCATCCCCTCAGTGCGCAGATATGGACGAGTGCAGCAGACTGGGCGCGTGCGGTCCTGGGGCGCTCTGCACAAACATCATCGGGGGGCATCAGTGTGTCTGTCCATCCGGCCTAGAAGGGGACCCTTACTCCTCTATAGGCTGCATCGTAAGTCCACTAAGTCCTTACTCCTTTATAAGCTGCATCGTAAGTCCAGACAGTCTTTACTCATATATTGGTTGTATGGTAGAATGTGTGGTAAATTCTAATGACCATCGAATGGACCTCGCAATTTCTCATCAAAACGCCATAGACTTTTGGGTATACTCATTATTATACTTTATTAATATCTTTGTATTACAATGCCGATGGTCGTTTTTTACCAACTAAAGATTACGCATGTTTCAACAGCGTCATGGTGTGTTGTTTCAGTGATACAAATCCTAAATCCTTCATATGGAATTCGATTTATTTAACATGAACGTGCAATTTATGCAAATATATTGGCCCATACGTGCAGGACATCAACGAGTGCGCGAGTTCGCCGTGCGCGGCTGGCGCGCGCTGCGCCGACGGCCGCAGCAACTACACCTGCGCCTGCCCCCCTGGCTTCGTCGGCAACCCATACAACAAATTCTCATCCTGCAGAGGTAAAAAATTCAATCCAGTTGAATTTTTGTAGATACCTCAATACTGGAAATCCTTATGTTCTTTATCCCAACTCATGGTTTGAATATTAACATAGGATATATGTACGTTTTTTGTTGCGTTCTTTCGACTAATGATTTTTTTTTAGCTACTTGCAGTTTTTCAATGCAGTAGCGGTGTAATAACAAGGCATCTTTGTATAGTCTCTAATCGTTTATTTCTGTATTCGCTTACCCGTGGAGATTTTGGTCTTTAACTGTCAAACCATCAATGGCAAATGCAGTTCGTTCTTTAATAACAAGAGTACCTACCGTTTATTAACTCCCACTTACCTGATTCTCGTTCATTAACTCCTGATCCTCGACAATCGTTGGCACCTCTGAGAATATTATTAACTCGGCTGGTAGGCTCATGAGAATATAGTAGATCGTTCGATCTTCTGAAATTCTTGACTAAGGAGTTTTCCCATGATCCTCCTTATCCTCAATTACCGCCTAATACTCTAACGAAGATGATCACTTGATGGTTAACATTCTTCTAAGCAAAGGGTTAGTCAGGTTATGTAGCAGCCTTAACAATAACTCCGTTTATCTTCAGAATGGATTTACTAAATCTAGCTGGTTACTTTTCTAACCCTCGTTTTCCAATTTTGTTGCTGCCTCGCCACTTAGACGTGGATGAGTGCCAAGATCCTCAATCGGACGTGACTGCAGACGCTGAAGTGGAATCAACGGCGCAATTAATAAGAACTGCCCAAAGTCTAATTGAGGGATCTGGTTCAGAAGAAAACCCTGCTATTGATGACCAAATAACCCCTACTAACTGGTCCTACCCTTGCGGAACCAATGCCCTCTGCCATAACGTGCCTGGCTCATTTAAGTGTCAATGCCCAAGAGGATACTCAGGCAATGCCCAGAGCATTTGCTACGACATCAATGAATGTGGTCGCCCAGGAGTGTGTGGGGCGAATGCCCAATGCATCAACACAGAGGGCTCTCATAAATGCGTCTGCCCTCAAGGGTTTGACGGCGATCCCATACTTGGATGCACCAGTTAGTACCTTCGAGTTCAAACGTCGGCCTTTCGTCGACTGCCCTTGCTGTTTCTGTCGCTTCATAGCGAGATATAAATGGTCTTCCCTCTTTTTATTTGTTACTTATATTTCATGTTGCTGATGATGCTTCAACGACGTTTGCCTGACGTAGACAAATTCAACGGTTCTTCGCGACGCAAACCTGGTCTTCTTTATCGGCATCCTTTGATAGACCTAGCATGCAGCGAAGCAAGTCAAGCAACAATATTGATTCAGACCCTTATTGTTCATCTTATTGTTATTACGATGATGTTCTTTTCTACGTTATACATATTAAGTGTGAATTGAACTATGGCGTTCACTTATCTGTACAAGTACCTCTACTAAGCATATTATCAGCACAATGTACTTATGTGTTTCTTCACGACTCACTTTCGGTTTTAAGCTCACCGCGCAATCGTTCCATTGTTGTTAACCTTTGACCCCGAGTACTGCAGCTGAACTCACGCAATCTCCTCGCCCTGTACCACTGCTCCTGAAGCTCCCTCGTCATGTTACAGCTTTACAATACTCGTCATTATCATTGATCTCAGTGATGAAGAGAAGGCTTTCCGTTCTGATGCTTTCTCTCTCTTCTTTCACTGTCAAATTACACGCGCTATTGAGCGTAAACTGATTTGTTGACGAGCCCCTAGATTCAAGTTCTTGGGGATACTAGCATGGAATTACATGAATTATTTCTGATGTATTTATTTTGTATACATTTGATGCGTGCGAAATTTAATTAGTGGGAAAGAATTTTTTGGACCCTCATCTTCTCATCACTGTCTTCATGGGGGCCCTTTGGTTGAAAATTACGATACAGGGAGACTGCATCTCATGTTTTTTCAATAATCATTGCAGAAACTATTTTTAGTGGCCAATAACTTTCATTCATCTCATATAGGTACCAAGAAAAATAATGTACTTGAATTAAAATCTGGTTCATGCCGTATCATGTTTATTTATTTAAGAATATCAATTTTTTGAATTAATTCTTCAGTGACGGCATCATGAGCTGATAAGTGAAAATGAGATAAGCAAATATCTCTGATTTGTGGACATTTTTTTGAACGGTTCCTGAATTATTTTTTTGTGTTTGCTCAGACATCAACGAGTGCGCGTCGAACCCGTGCGGGCTGAACGCCCAGTGCCTGGACAAGATGGGGAGCTACGCGTGCATCTGTAAAGCAGAGTACACGGGAGACCCCTACACTGCCTGCACCGGTCTGTTCCTGTCTCTTCTTCATTATATATTTTAGACCACTGTTTTATGCGAGCAACTTTATGGGGACGATTCAATTTGTATATGAGGCTCTACACTCATTTAGCACTAAAAACATTATCATTGTTTCGCTTGCATTTTAAGGTAGTGAATTTTCGGCAGACATCGACGAGTGCTCGGTGCTGAGCAACCCCTGCGGCACCAACGCCGTCTGCCAGAACACCGACCCGGGCTTCCAATGCGTGTGTCCTAAGGGCTTCAGGGCTCGGTCGTCCCCGCATGTTGCATGTGAACAGGTCCGTTATTTCCTCAAATTATATTTGCACATTTTAATAAAGCATTTAACGGTCGTTTTATACTGAGAAATAATTAAATAATAAAAACAACTTCTGACAAATAATTCCATGTGCCAATTTGTTGCAGAATCGACTTATAATAATTTATCAACCTAACAAGACACAACAGGAGTATGAAATTGAAAAAAAAGTTTGAACATCTGCCAAAGTATAGTTTTTTTTAACAGATATTGTTAAAATAATTTTCTAGTGACTATAGTTTTTTTACCGAAAAGAATTCCGGCTCGTGACCTCAAACTGGCCGATGATTGACTGATTGTTTTCCCTCATGCAGTATGACGTGAGCGTTCAGTGCCTTACTAACTTCGACTGCGTGAACAACGCTCGCTGCGTGGAGGGACAGTGCTTCTGCCAGGACGGCTTTGAGGCGGCGGGTGCAGAGTGTCGCGATGTGGACGAATGTTTGTCATCACCATGCGGCAGCAACGCGCACTGCCGCAACATACCCGGCAGCTATGTTTGTGCCTGCGATGTAGGATACATCGGCAGCCCTCCTCAAACTAAATGCAAAGGTAATTATTATGCGATTGAAAATTATCTAGCCCATGCAAACTGAAGTGCAATAAATTGGTCATCCCTGCTCACATACTGAAAGGCGTTAGTCAAAAAGATAGCGATGATTTTTTTTAAGAGAAATGTGACCTAATTTATTCACTAAATGATAAAACTTTTTTCGCGATATACCGTCAATATAGAGATACTTTAATCTCTCACGTGCATGTCTTTTGCAGCTCCTTGTGAAGGCTACAATTGCGGACCACACGCTAAGTGTCGCCCCGACGGGGAAGAGGCGATGTGCGTGTGCGACCAGGGCTGGAGCTACAACCCTGCAGACATCGCAGCGGGATGCCAAGGCAAGTTTTCTTAATTTTTACCTTTCTAAATTTGCATCAACGGTCTTAACTTGAGACATTAGGTCATACACAACTTTATTCAACGGCTCAAATTGCGACTTCAACGACTTAAGTTCAGCAACTTTTTGCGTTGGCCGCAAAACGTGCAGTTACGTTCAGTACATGATGATAAATAGGCAGCCAAGCAATGCAGTTACTCTGAAGATTTATGAAACCTTCTTTGTCAGACGTGAACGAATGTTCGACCGAGTATGGGCCTTCAGGACAATGCGGAGAGAACGCTCTCTGCGTCAACTCTCTGGGCTCGTTTTCATGTCAGTGTCCCCCAGGCTTCGGAGGAAACCCACTCTCCAGATGCCAAGGTAACTCTTTCAAACTCGATTCATTTGGCGATACCAGAAGTGGGTGAAATATTCTATTCTAGGGAAGTGAATTCTATGAATTCAAAGGAGATGATTTGAGCTGAAATTATGCTTCATCTCTTTCAGACATAGACGAATGTCGCCTTGGTAACTCCTGTGGCTACGGAGCAATTTGTACAAACACTTTGGGATCCTTCACATGTCAATGTCCGGCCAACACCGTGCCAGACCCTGACCCTTACTCCGCCTGCCTCGATATCATGAAATGTTCTGAAGACAACGATTGTCCCGGCAATGCGCTCTGCCTAAAGAATCAGTGCATGTGTCCAGAACCGAATATTGGTGACGACTGCCGACGTGAGTATTACATCTTGATCATTTCATGAACGTATCGTGTAAGTGATTATTATATTATTACTAACATTTTAGCTGTTGGAAAAATATCTTACTATTTGGAAACTCTCCTTCAGATCCCTGCGAAGAAACACAGTGTGGTCCAAACGCAGAATGCAAACTAATAAATGGCGCTCCGAAATGTTTGTGCGCAACTGGATTCGATGGTTCACCGGCTACGACCCTTGGCTGTTCGGACATCGATGAGTGTGCAAATAATCCATGTGGGTATGGAGCCGCCTGCAGGAATGTACCAGGGCACTTCACGTGCCAGTGCCCCGCCGGCTTCGAAGGCAACGCTAGGGAGGGCTGCGCTGAGGTCAAATCTCCAGGTTGTGATTCCACCAACCCTTGCCCGCGAGCAGAAATGTGCATAAGGGACCCACAGCTCAACGAAAATGTCTGTGTGTGTCAATCTGGATTCACAAGAGATCCGAGCACCGGGCAATGTCGAGACATCAATGAATGCATCGAAAACAGCTTCGGTTCTGTTTGCGGAGTGAATGCGATTTGCAAAAACTTACCAGGAATATACGAGTGCCAATGTCCTCCGAGCATGGTCGGCAATCCCTTCAGCGAGTGTAAACGTGAGTATATATTTTAGCACAAATAGCATTGAATCGGTCGTGATATTGTAGAAAAAATTTTCGGAGCTTTGTTCAAATAGTGTTTACTTCATGTTTCTAATACTTCATCATCTTGTATTGTTTCCGACAGAATGTGACACGCTGGAATGCAAATGCCAGCCTCCGTACCGAATAATCGAGGGCAACTGTGTGTTGGCTGACTGCTCCAAAGGTAACAAATGCCCCGCTGGAGCGGAGTGTGTAACCATCCAGGGAGGCGTGAGTTACTGTGCCTGCCCCACTGGATTCATCATGCAGGCCGACAACACGTGCAAGGACATAGACGAGTGCAGTTTGGTGAGTCCCGCTGAAAAGCCGCCATGTGCAATCGGGGCCGAATGCACAAACCGTGTCGGAACATTCGAGTGCAACTGCCCTCTCGGGACTTCAGGTGATCCTTATTTCGGGGGATGTTCGATGAACAAGATTCAGTGCACTAAAGATTCTGATTGCGGGACAAATGAAAAATGTATCCAACCAGGAAAATGTGTCTGCCCTCCTCCTTTCTTCGTTGACAATCTGGATCGAAATCTTTGCAAGAACCCATGCTCAGCTTTCTCTTGCGGCGTCAACAGTAAATGCGAGGCTGCTGATCCTCCCACTTGTAAATGCCTACCTGGATTCACGAGCAAAGGGGAAGATGGATGTTTCGATATTGACGAGTGTGCTAAAAAGCCTTGTGGTTCAGGAGCCATTTGCGTCAACGAAATAGGATCATTCAAGTGTGAGTGTCCTCCTGGCACTCGAGGGGATCCTTTCAGCGGCGGCTGCTTCGGGTCCGAAAGAGTTGGTTGTTCAGTACACAGTGAATGCCCGAGTGACTTGGCTTGTGAAAATGGTGTTTGTATTAATCCCTGCGATTCTTTACCTTGCGGATCAAATGCATACTGTGAACCAGAGGAGCACGCAGCCTGGTGCAGGTGCCATCCAGGCTTTAACGAAGGTCCGGACGGACAATGTGTGTCCATGTGTGAAGGCTTTCTCTGTGGATCAAGTTCCCATTGCATCGTTTCTAATGAAGGGCCCACATGCAAGTGCGGAAACGGCTTCAACGGTAATCCGTTTCCTGGAGGCGAATGTATAACTGATCAGTGTTCGGCGAGCCGTCCTTGCATTGAGCCTCAAGTCTGCATTCACGGTCGGTGCAAGGAACGGTGCGAGGGCATCGTCTGCGGAGTCGGGGCCAAATGCGACAAAAACACGAATAAATGCGTCTGTCTTCCCTTCTTCCTTGGTGATCCTGATTTACTCTGCGTCCCACGTAAGTTTTACCATGATTATGTAATCTATGTTTGCTAAGATATATATAGGTTTGACGATAACTTATCCCATCTGGTATATGATAAGCAAAATTGCTTCTATTTAATCTAGAAATATAAATCCATCAATTTCACCCACTCTTTCCTTGCAGCCGTCACACCACCTTTATGCGTGCCTGGATGTGGTCAAAACGCGCACTGCGAATACGGACTGCCCAACAGGTGCATCTGCAATACCGGCTACAGTGGCAACCCATACGAGTCTTGCACCTCGCAACAAGACAGAGCCACATGCGACAGCACCAAGTGCGGCACCAATGCCCAGTGCCGCCAGGGTAGCCGACGTGTTGACTGTGTTTGTCCAATTGGTTTCAGAGGAAATCCGTACGTTGAATGCACGGACGTGGATGAGTGCATTGGTAACGCCTGTGGCATGAACGCCGTGTGTCTCAATACAATTGGAAGCTACGACTGCCGCTGTGAGGAAGGGTTTAATGGCAATCCTTTCCAGATGTGCATGCCTCGTGCTGTTCAAACTGAACCGTGCTTGGAAAATCCTGAATTCTGCAGCTGCAAAGCTGACACTGACTGTCCTGCAGGATTCAAATGCACTTCTGGTCAATGTCAGCCAGCGTGCGCCAACGCTAAGTGCGGTCCTAACGCTGCTTGTGACGGCGGTGTGTGTGCTTGTCTGCCAGGTTACTCTGGCGACTCTAATGACCAGGTGCTTGGCTGCCAAAAATCTGAGTGCAGTAACAACTTTGATTGCGAATACGATGAAATTTGCATTCAGAACAGAGGTGGACATCGCAGTTGTGTGGACGCTTGCGATCGCAGCCAATGTGGACCAAATGCATTTTGCGTTGCTCAAGACCACATTGCATCTTGTCTCTGCAAGGACGGCTTCGTGGGAGACCCCATCAACACACGACAAGGATGCCAACCTAAGGAGAGAGAAAACCGGTGCACCACGAATGCAGATTGTGACAGAGAGCAAGTTTGTCAAATGGACTTCTCTGGAATTCGACGCTGTACTGACCCTTGTTTGAGCAGAACTTGTGGCCGCAACGAACGTTGCGTTGTTCAGTCTGGTCGTCCTCGCTGCGAGTGCCTGTCAGGCTTCATCAAAAATCCTACTACTAATATTTGTGAAGGTAATAATATTATGAAATTTACTTCTTAAATAAACTATCTGTGAAGTTAAATTAATGAAGAAAATTTCCTAGTTTATGTAAATTTTATTTACAAGAAGGTACGGTATTTTGTAATTCGATCGACACTATGCAAAGTACTATTTTGTTCCTTACAGAACCTGCCGTTCCTGATTGCGAAAGCGACCGAAATTGTGCACCGTCTGCGGCGTGTCGTCTGGATCAGCTTGGCGTTCGCAAGTGCGTCGACATTTGCACCAGCTTCACGTGCGGTCTCAATTCCGTTTGCCAAGCCGTCAACCACCGCGGACAATGTCAGTGCCTTCCCGGTTTCACTGGCAATCCTAATGACAGGAGCGGCTGCCGTGCCGTGCCTCAAGACGAGTGTCAGACCGATGCTCAGTGTCCGGAGTCTGACAAGTGTTTGGTCAGGGGTAACACACGAAAATGTGTATCTGTGTGCAAAGAGACTCAGTGTGGACCAGGAGCAATTTGCATTGCAAATAACCATGCCGCAAAATGTCAGTGTCCGCCTGGACTGTTCGCCGGTGATCCAGGGGATTTGACGAAAGGTTGCACTTCTGTCGGATGCCTCATCAACGAAGATTGTGCTTTTGATCAGGCTTGCAACCGCATGGATTTTACTTGCTTTGACGTTTGTTTTGACGCTTGCGGAGAGAATGCTGTTTGCATCCCTCAAAACCATGGATACTCCTGCCAATGTGCACCTGGATTCAGGCCAAATCCTTCGGCTGAAATTGAATGCTCAGCTGTGAATGTATGCGATTCAAACCCCTGTCACAAAACTGCTGTTTGTCAATCCAATGGAGCAAATCACCTCTGTTCTTGCCCTCGGGGTATGATAGGAGACCCATACACAACTGGATGTCACCCAGAAGGTACATGCCCCTTGGGAGACGATGACTGTCCAACAGACAGCGTTTGTCTTCGTGGCTTGTGCAAGTCGCCCTGCGAAGGCGCTTGCGGCCCAAATGCCTTGTGCAACGTCGTTAACAGAAAAGCTCAGTGCAACTGCCCTCCAGGTTTTGAACCCAACCCTTCAGCTAAAGACGGTTGCAGCAGGATAACGAGCAAATGTACCAACAATGTACAATGCTCGGGAGGTACTTGCATCCAGGGACAGTGTATCGAAGTTTGTCGTACAGATCGCCAGTGTGCTCAAGGAGAGAAATGCGTCGAAAATAAATGCATGGTGTTGTGCATATCATCTGAACAATGTCCTAAAGAACAGTCTTGCATAAATGGGGTTTGCCTGATTGGCTGTCGCAGTAACTCAGACTGCCCATCAGACCAAGCTTGTTTAGCGAACAAATGCCAAGACCCTTGTTCAGAACCCAATGTCTGCGGTCCTAATTCTGTGTGCAAGTCAGAAGGACATTTTGCGCAGTGCCTGTGTCCGGATGGCTTCCAAAAAATTCAGCAAGGTTGCATTCGTACGCCATTTGCTTGTGAAAACAATAATGATTGCTCGTCTGGCAACCTTTGCGACAAAGGACAATGCAAGCCTATCTGCAGCCAAATCCAGCAATGTGCCCAAGGAGAGCACTGCAACAATGGAATGTGCATGAAAGTCTGCTTCAACGACGGAAACTGTTTGCAGGGAGAAGTTTGCATTGAAGGATCTTGTGAGAGCGGCTGCAGGACATCGGGAGACTGCACTCAAAATGAAGTTTGTGTCTCAAAGAAATGCATGTGTGCTAAAGGATACAATCCTAGTGGTGGTGGCTGCGTAGATGTTGATGAGTGTCAGCAGAAACCTTGTCATGCCTCTGCTACCTGTACCAATGTGCCAGGTTCATTCAAATGCGCATGCCCAGCTCAAACTATCGGCGATCCCTACGGAGGCAACGGCTGCGTTTCACCTAACGAATGCTCAAATGACGCGGAATGTTACGGCGAACAAGCTTGCGTACTCTCCAGCGTAGGACTGTATAAGTGCGTAGATCCATGCGCATCTACAGTATGTGGAGTCAATTCAGTTTGTGTCGTGGAAAATCATAAACCAGTTTGTGTGTGTCAGAACGGCTACTTCGGCGACCCCAACAATCTTTCCAGCGGGTGTGTGAGGGGCGACTGCGTGGAAGACGATGATTGCTCGTCTGACAGAATTTGCAACCGGGCTTCGTTTAGATGCTTAAGTAAGTTTCAAATTTATTTCAAAATTTAGTTGCATAATCATGTACTTTTGTTTATGGTTCTCGGTTCTATTTCACAACATTGGTTCGAAGTTATTTCATCTGAGATACCTATAATCTTCAAGTCGGATTATCTTCACGACGTAATGAGTAATATTTAATAGCCATAACAAATTTTCTTTCTTCAGACCCATGTGAGAACGTTAACTGCGCTCACGGTCGCTGCCAGGCTGAGAACCACCAAGCAGTTTGCTATTGCCAGCCAGGCTTTGCAGTCGCGGACGACGGCAGTTGCAAAGACATCAACGAGTGCGACAGCGATCCGTGTCACAGAACTGCCGCCTGCCGCAACTCTATTGGAAGTTTCACATGCACCTGCACTGCCGGTCTAATAGGAGACCCATACAGCACAGGGTGCAGACGACCAGGAGACTGCACTAATGACAATCAATGCCCTGCGTCATCTGTTTGTTTGCGGAATAAATGCAAGAATCCCTGCGAAACAACGACGTGTGGTAGCGGTGCCGTTTGCTCGGTTGTGGGTCGGCAGCCTGTGTGTACTTGCCCACCTCGCAGCACAGGTGACCCTAAGAGGCAATGCGTGGCGTTCGATTGTGTCTCTTCATCGGAGTGCGCGTCTGATAAATCATGCATTAACAACAAGTGTGTCAACCCTTGCTCCATCCCTGGAGTGTGTGGTCAGAATACGGAGTGCCATGCGTCCGGACATCTGCAAACCTGCTCCTGCAAACCCGGGTTCACGGGCGACGCTTCGTTCGGCTGCTCTTCCATCAACTACTGCGCCAACGAAAACGACTGTCCGTCCGGAGAACAGTGCAATGGGGGAGTGTGTCTGCGTAAGTATCGTGCCGTATGATTTTTGTGTTGAAATTACGTCAATTGTTTCGTTTTTTTTGGTCCTCAATGCAACATTGAATGTTATCGTATGAATTATTAATGCGCAATATTATTATACATTATTATAAATTATTATTGCGAGCACATTTTTATTCCGATACATATCAAGCACTCACTCGTTATCCATCTTGTGATTGTTATTTTAATTTATTTTATCCCTCAAATAAGAAGTCTCGCTGAAAAGTAATCCGAATTCTTACAATTTTCGTGATATTCACCCATACATATTGTGTTGTACATTAGTCTATTCCTAATAATATATTGTTTAGAGTTTAAGTATGTATTTCCCCTCTAATTAAGTACCATGTCTTACATGCAGCTGCGTGCGCCAGCACCCGTGAGTGTCTGCGGGGCCAGGTGTGCCTGCAGGGATCCTGCGTCCCGACTTGCACGTCTGACCGCCAGTGCCCTGACTTCCAGGTACATTATCTCTTCCATTTTTGCTGACCAAATTGGTCGAAATTACATTAATTTGACTCATTTTAGGATGATTAACTGTTGATAAAAGCAAATATTAATTGTTAGCGAGCGTTAACGGAATATTTGTTCTTGCTTAGGTGTGCCAGAACAGCATTTGCGTGCCGGAAGTGAAGTGTCGTGCCAACGACGACTGTTCATCGCGGGAACAGTGCCGTCAGAACAGCGTGGGGCAGGCCGAGTGCAAGGCCGTGTGTGACAGCCTGGTGCTGTGCGGCCGCAACGCTGAGTGCATCGCCCAGGACCACGAGGCCATGTGCCAGTGTCCTGAGGTGGGTCCAAGTCTCTGCAAACCACAGCAACTTTTTTGCTACAATTGATTGTTTTATTGTCGTTGTTGTCGTAGACCGCGCGGCGATAGTTGAATAACTATTTCAACGAAAACGCGTATTTATTGTTTTTTTTTTTGGTTCTTGTTGCTGTCGTTGATTGCAGGTTTGTGTTTAAATAACTATTGTAACAATCACGCGTGTTCATTTGCTCATTTAGTTCAGAAGATGGCAAAGCTCTCTCACCTTTCTTCGCTAATTAGTCGCGTTACGTATTCCTCATTCACTCGTAAAGTATGCCTTCTTATTCGCGTTCGAATCGTTAAATTATGACCTGACTTGAAAATGTGATATTAATTTATTTATTTCCGACTGCAGGGCTTCTTCGGCGATCCCGTGGACGAACGCGTTGGCTGCCAGCGAATTGAGTGTCGCAGCGACAACGACTGCGACTCTAACGAGCTCTGTGATAACTACAAGTGCAAGGGTAAGATATGCAGAAATCGTATGCAATTGTAATAATGAAGCTGATTATATTTTGAGGAACTTATATCTATTGTTCACTATTCATTTGAAATAAATAATTCTTTCGTCTTTGCAGTTGCTTGCTCTGTTGAGAACAAGTGTGGCCGGAACGCGAGGTGCGAGTCGGAGAACCACAAGGCCGTCTGCTTCTGTCGGGATGGCTTCAGCGGCGATCCTCTGAAAGGCTGCTCGAACATTGACTTCTGTGCAGATAGTCCCTGCGGTGCAGGTGCAAGATGCACCAACACCAGGGGAACTTTCAGGTGCACTTGTCCACCAGGAACTGTTGGCAATGCCAACGAAGACGGCTGTGTCCCTCCTGTTGAATGTCTCTCAGACAACGACTGTCCAGCTTCCGCATACTGCGGCGAGGAAGACAACAAGCCTAAGTGCAAGAATGCTTGCGAGGATTACGGTAATAAGTGTGGTCCAAACTCGGAGTGTGTGTCGGCTAACCACAAGGCGCTGTGCCAGTGCCGTGATGGCTATGAAGGAACGCCAAACGACGCCCTCGTGGGCTGCCGCCCAAAAGTCGTGTCGTGCGCCAACAACAAGGACTGCCCGCCAGCCACCATCTGCGATGGAGGACTCTGCCGGCGTGAGTAACATGGATAACGTTTTAAAAGTTCCTTTAAAATGGGGTGCGGCTTTTAATTTCATTTGAAAGTCTATATGAGAATCAATTAACGGTGTAATTCGTTTAAAGTATTAGTATAAAAAATACCTGACTGATTGCTATCCCTTGCCGCAACCACTTTTTCATTCCAAAATCAATGGCAACGGTATCAGCTGCGATGTTAAAGTGAGTGTCTGAGAATTTATCACTGGTAAGTGGGTAGGAAATTCTTAAACTAAACCTTCTTCCTCGTGATTAATTTAACAAAATGGGTTTTTCTCGTTAAATCTAAATTTTCTTCTCCATTTACAGCTCCATGCCAAAGTGATGACGAGTGTGGGCTGCTGGAAGCCTGTATCAGAGGCCAATGTTCGAACTTATGTGACAAACCCAAGGCTTGTGGACTCAATGCCATGTGTGACATGGTTAATCACAAGAAACATTGCACCTGTCCACCAACGTTTACTGGTACAGCTGATACTGAGTGCTACCGTCTGCCTACTTTCTGTAAAACCTCGGAGAACTGCCAAGACGACCAGATGTGCAAGTCAGGCGGATGTGTGCCGAAGTGTACCGGCCACGAGGAATGTGCCCAGAATGAAATGTGCATACAGGGATCGTGTACTCGTAAGTTTATTTCTTTCCTTCCTGTTTTGCAAATAAGTTGGTAGTTTCATATCTATTTAATGTCTTAATGAAAAGTGTGCTTAGCGTTGAAATGATGTTGTGTGAGGGCTTTCAACGTTGAGATAACCAAATTTTTCGTCTTTACAGTGACGTGTCGTGTCGATAATGACTGCTTCCTCGGCCACATTTGTTTGTCCAACACCTGCCTCATCGGATGCCGGACGAACGATGATTGCACTTCATCGGAATCTTGTCAAAACAATCAGTGCCGTAACCCTTGTGAAAAATCCTCCCTTTGCGGTCCTCACGCGGAATGTACAGTGGTGAATTATAGGGCGCAATGTTCCTGCCCAGCTGGCTTCATCCCCAATCCATCTGCCAACATTGCTTGTGTTCGAGAGCCGATTGGCTGTTCCCTCAACTCTGATTGCGGTCCAGGGTTCACTTGTTCTTCAGGGACCTGCTTGGCCATATGTTCGTCCGCTGCTAATTGCCTGGACAGCGAACAATGCGACGGAAACACGTGTCGTCCTGTTTGTAGAAGAGACGATGATTGTCGCTCTGGTGAAATATGCGATAATTTGATGTGCGTTGTGGGCTGCCGTGCAGACACCGAATGTCGTAACGATCAAGCGTGCATTGAAAACACCTGCAAAAACCCGTGCGCCTCACCGACATCGTGTGGAAATAACGCCAAGTGTTCAGTACAAGAGCATAGAGTCGTATGTGAGTGCAATGATGGACTAGAAGGTGATCCCTACGTAAACTGCAGACTTAAAGTCACTTCATGTGATTCCAATGATGACTGCCCAGACTCGGCAAGTTGCGTTTCTGGTACCTGCCGTTCAAAGTGCTCAGGCGATAATTCATGCCTAGACAACGAGCGCTGCATGGACGGTGTTTGCAAAGAAATTTGCAGTTCCGATTTCCAATGCGGAGCTGGAACGATATGCCAGAGGAGATTGTGCGTGGCAGGATGCCGAAGAGACTCGTCTTGCCCTGACAAAATGTCCTGCATCGACCGAGAGTGTCGCGATCCTTGTCCTTCAGCATGCGGAGAGTGTGCGCTGTGTGAAGTGTTCAACAACAAAGCTCAGTGTTCCTGTCCAGCGGATACAATCGGTAACCCGCTGGTCTCGTGCAATAAACCGGCGCGTATCTGCTCATCATCGGATGATTGTTCCTCAGGGGAAGACTGTACTGAAGGCTACTGCGTTTCCAGTTGTTCTTCTGATTCTGACTGTACGTGCGGCCAGGTATGCCACGACAAGCAGTGTAAGAGTCAGTGCAGAAAGTCCACGGACTGTGCCCAAGGTTTCCTTTGTATGTCCGGAAAGTGCACCGCCGCTTGCAGGTCCAGCAATGACTGTCCAGTCGGCCAGTCTTGCGTCAACACCAAGTGCCGGGATCCTTGTGAACTGAAAACTTGTGGAACCAATGCTATCTGCAGAGCCTCGAATAATCGTGCTGTGTGCCTATGCCCACCAGACTTCCGAGGCATTCCGACCGTTGAATGCAGAAAATCTGAATGCTCTCAGGATGAAGATTGCCGCCACAATCAGATGTGCAGCGAAGGTAAATGCATCAATCCCTGTGAAGCAGGTTTTTGCGGTATCAACGCTCAATGCACCGTAGTCAACAGACGAGCCCAATGTCAGTGCCCGGCTAATTATTACGGCAATCCTGAGACTGAGTGCACAGAAGACGTCAACGAGTGCGCCCGGAACCCTTGCGCTAACAACGCTGAGTGCAAGAACACCATCGGCAGCTATGTTTGCGAGTGCAGCCCGAGTTGTCAGGGCGATGCCTACCACGCAGGCTGCATCTGCCCTAGTGACCAAGTGAGTCCTTGCGCCCTCCGGACCTGTGGAATCAGCGCCAAATGCCGGACTGTGCTCAACAACGCGGCTGAGTGCTTCTGCCCTTCAAACATGCCTCTCGGAGATCCAATGATTGAATGTAAGTCAACTAGCCTTCATAATAATGCTTTTTCTGACAGAAATCGGGGAGCTAACCTATTTGTGTTCATGTTGCTTCTTATTGACGTTTTTCTTATTTTCCTGTTTACAAAAATAAAATGTTAAAGTTCGATCATGATAATTATTCTTATCTCAGCTTATCTCTAATCTTCATGGCATTGCATGCTGCAGGCAAGGCAGACTGCCGACAGCGCGGCTGTGGTCTGGGCGCGACTTGCGTGGACGCGGGCGACGAGTTCGAGTGCCGCTGTCGGGATGGCTGGAGCGGTGACCCCGAGGCAGAATGCGTGCCAGGTCAGTCGTTGTCTATGACTGTCCGAGCCCATGAAGTCTTTCCAATGAACTTAGCTTCTGGAGCTATTGTCCAATCCTTTGTTCAAGCCTTGTGCCTTTATATTAATCCTATCCATGCATGTATCCCTGAGAATGTATATCTTTTGTCATGATCCTGCAAGTCCCTACATGAATGCCGAATATGAAACTGCTGTGAATAACTTCATGTTGTCTAGCATGGTCATTTATATTTTTATATCACAGTATCATCGTGATTTATCAACAGATATTCCATGTACCTAGATAGTATATGTAGTCACATATCGAAATCCTGCGCCCTGTGAGCAGGTATCACTTATGTGTTCCGTGACTCTACCTTCACATCATTAAGTTAGGATTGCATTGAAGTGAGTTGCTCATCAAACTCTCCTCAGTCTCATTACATGAATAATCTTCGTCACTGAGTTTATTGTAGAAAAATCGTCCCATTAGCGATAAACACTTGCGATCTGCGATTGATAGTCGGCAATCGTGACGATCCGCAATCCCATCGTGGCTCTGGTGTGCAATGCAGTACGATGGACGCAGGTTCTGTAACCCGAGTATGGCACCGTCAGTTCAGATCTATTGTTCACTGAAAATTGTTTCTTTTCTATACGTCGTTGCACTATTTTAGAATATCGAAATAATGCTATCTGTTTCATCTCACGAGGGTGGCATTATGGTTTTACTTGTAACATACCACTTGGGAGTTAGTGTCAAAAATATACGGTAAATTTCTTTAGCTTCGTTACGTAAAGTAGTAACTAATTTGCTATTTAATTGTAGAATTTTAATTTCTAATATTTCAATCGTCTTCGCGGTCGATTTGATAATTGGGGCTCCATTCCAGAGCTGAAGCTCTGTGACCTCGTCACGATCTTTACTAATGGTGACACTCTGCGGTAAGCTTCGTAGTATTGTAATGGCAACACCGTTCCCATTCAGAATCGGTGTTATGCTTCTTGATTTAATCTAAATTTAGTTCTTAGACTAGGAAGCTCTAATAATCTCTTTGATAGGTGACATCTATGTTTTAACCCGGAATCACATAAGGGTTCAAATGCTGCCTCATACTTGGTTCTTCATACATTTCATAGTGATTTTAAATCATCCTCATTAATATTGTTCACGATAGTAATGAGAATTATAATAATCGTAAGTATACCATTTTCTCGAGCTAATATGGAGAAATATAGGGTATTATTAACGATTGTTTTAACAGTTTGCCTCAACAGGTTGTCATGTACTTATTTCTAATGCTCACTCATGTGTATACTGATTTACTACCAGAATTAACATGAAAGTCCGTGTTTGAAACACCGCCGTGATTGTCAACTTGAGAATAACAAATGAGGAGTTCTTCGGTTTAACCGCGGGTGTGGCTTCTGTATACCCTGAGGTCACTTGCACTCTGCTATGCTGCATGCTCATGTCTTTGCTCTTCCTTTCTCACACTAGATTCTCAGTGCACAATACATCTAGACTGCCGGCCTCCATTGGCTTGTATGAAGGGCAAGTGTTCAAATCCTTGCGGCCAACCTGGTGCGTGTGGTACCAATGCCAATTGTACGGTCGTTAATCAGGAAGCGTCGTGCGCCTGTCCCCAATGTTATCATGGATCTCCTCAAGTCGCTTGTCAGCTGAACGATACGTGTATCCGCTCCCAGCCAGAGCCCCCTGCTCCTCCGTACTGCATTTCTAACGAAGACTGCAAAGACAAAGAGACGTGTAATGTTACTTTGAAGCAGTGTCAAAACCCATGTGATGATTTATCGGCCTGTGAGCCCAATCATCGATGTGAAGTCCGAAAGCACAGGAAGAACTGTTTATGTAAGTTTGGGTTCATCTTGAACTCAGCTGGTGAGTTTGTCTGTGCAGGGGACAACATCGAGTGTCATCGTTCGCAGGACTGTAGTTCTGACCTGAGTTGCATAAACAACAAATGCAAAAACCCCTGCGAGCAAGGAAACCTGTGCCCTGCTGGAAAAACTTGTGTCACTATGAACCATCACGCAGTTTGCCTTTGCCTGGACGATTGCTCCCCGTCTGTAGAAATCTGTCTGCGCGATGAAGGCTGCCCGCCAAACCTGGCATGTGTGAGCTATCAGTGCGTGGACCCCTGCAACGGACACGCCTGTGCTGGAGACTCGCCTTGCTACGTCGAGGAGCACAAACCACTTTGCAAATTCTGCCCGTCCGGTTTTACAATTGATCCCATCTATGGCTGTGTCAAAGGTAAAGAAATCAATAAAACGATGATATAAACTAACGAAAATATGAACACATGCTACGTGCACCTTTAATAATCACTTACTAACACCGCTTAATGACCAACTTTCTTCGAGTGACGGATTCGACCTTCAAATTTCCTTCGACAGCAGAAAAGATTAGTTGACTTCGAAGTTGTTAAGGAAAATTCAAATGAACGGGAACTTTGTCGACCTGTGACAAACATTTTTTAGACTTTCTTTCATTTTCTTGGAATGAACTTTTTTTTGATGATTCCAACCATCAATTTGTATTGAATGAATTTGTTTAATATTAAGTTTTTCTTGCATCCAAACTTGTCACAATAATTTATTTTCTTCTGTGTCTGTTCGTGTTACAGATTTACTACGTGTGACGTTTTCTAATTTAAGTAACACTTTCAGATAATAGCCTAATTTTGGCTTACTTCTACTTTATGTTATGTTATCCTTTCAACCCTGCCCCTGAATTCAACAAATAACCCGCAGAAGCTCCTACACCTCCTAGCATCCCTCCTCGTTCGGAGCCTCAATGTTACTCCGATATGGACTGTGGCTCTGGACAAGTTTGCCAGAACGGAATTTGTGCGAATCCTTGCTTGAACATTTGTGGGGCACCTGACTGTCTCATTCTGTCGCTAAATGATGAGTCAATAGAAGTTGAGTGCGATTTGGAATTTGATAAAACCACGAAACCCGCTGACACAGCTAAGACATTACAGCCCGCCACAACCCAAACTAGCTCAACCACTACAACAGTGAGGAGTTACACTCAAAATCCAATCATAACCACATTTAGGCCCTTCAGGCCAAGTTTTTTCACAACTGCTCCCAGTTCCACAACTATCAGTCAACAACAATCAACCACTCATTCGGTCCCAAAAGATAATTGGCCTTTCTTTACTACAGCACGAACTACCAAACCTACACAATCATCGGTCGCCATAGTACCTGATGGTAAGATTGTTTCCACTACTATAAAACCACCAGGATTTGAACAAATTCACACTTTTCCCACACCGAAGGCTGAAATAATTTCGTTTGTTTCATCTTCAACTACTACCAAGAAAACGACGAAATTGTTTTCAGAAGGAAGGACAACGGAAAAAACCACAACTGACAATTTTAATTTGCCAACTACAACTGAAGAATGTGTCCGCGACAAAATCACTACCGAGAAAACGGGTACACGACTCGATTCTACCTTACTAACCAACCCTCCTGAAACAACTACAGAGAAAGAGGAATTCTCCAGAACCCAGCCATATGAATGGCCCACGACAACTGCTATGTCCTATCTTGACGATTCAGTTACAACAGAGACGACATTATTAATAGAATCAAGTTCATTCCCTACAACCAGGCTCCGAGTTACTACTCAGAAGGCTGCCGTCACAAGTCCTGATCAACAAGCCACCGATCCGGGGAGGTGGTTTTCAACTACACATTTGCCAACAACTCACAGTTCTCGTACAAAACCTCAACGGACATCATCAACGATACCGCAGAATTGGCCCCCCTCAACCATTAAAGTATCATCTACTACCACTCCAAAATCATTTTTAACTCCTACAACTAGTTCTACAACTCCATCAATAGAATACACGGATAGGTATGAAACCACTACGCCATCTCTCATTTCAAAACCAATAATTCATCAGCTTGCAGAATACGAATGCACAAGCAGTGTTGAGTGTTCTCGCGATGAAGCTTGTTTGGAAAACAAATGCCTTAATCCCTGTAAAGTGCGTCAGCCTTGTGACAGCGGGTTCGTGTGTGTAGTCAGCAATCACATAGCGTTGTGTCAGTGCCCCACAGGTTCAAGCATTGGATCTCTGTGTCCAAAAGGTACAGTAATTGATCGCTCAAATGATCTTTGCTTTACATAAAAGCCTTTGTAAAGCAATGGGAATTGCCCGCTCCCATGTACATTGCATCAATTGCTTTGCTTCTATATCCGTTCAGCTTCTGAAGACAGATCCTTTCATAAACGACAATATACAAAAAAAAATAAAATTAGGAGAGGCGTATTGTTAAAGACTCGTGAAACATCGTGACATTAAAAAAAACTTATTACGTTTATTTGAGGGATATTGAGGCATATTTTATCTTGTCCTTTCAACCTTACTGCGTATCCATGCGGGGACAATGAATGACATCCTGGTTCTTCCACATGTGACATGTTTTTTGTCATCACTGTTCTCATCTCATAGGGTATGAATTTTTCTAAGTCAAATGAAGAGTCGCTTTTGTTGTATACAAGGGACAGGAGAAGGCGTGATTTACCACTGTAAAAAGGCACAGATGATACGTTCACAGTTCTGGAATTCTCCAGGTATGCAGACCCGGTACACTGTACGATGCTTCACGGTCAGCCGGTATAGGAACGCGAGATTGATATTTTCCAAC